TCAGACATTTAGATTTTAAGTGCCAACACTATAACCTTTAGAGCAGAAATTATAGGATTACTAGATTCTTTAGAAACTTTGCCAATACAAGAACTGGCTTTGATGGCATCATGCAAAGTAGTGTGTACTAAGCCTGGAGCTTCCGGATTGTTTTATGTTCTTACCCTTTTAGAAAGGAGACTTGTTCCCCCATTCTTTCAATGTAACTTGTGTGGCTAGCACACTTCACCATTTTAGTTGAGGGTTTGCATTTTGCCTGTTTGCATTACACAGCCCTTGTACTACTGAAGGAAAATCTCTGTGTGTCCCCACCTCTAAACTGAGTCAGTTTTCCATTACTGCAGATTTCAAGACTGAGCTAATGCTACAAGACAACATCCTATCATACGGATAATGCAGATAACAGATACACAGGTATACTCTTCTAACTTTTGAAAAAAAGCAGCTAAAAGGTGTAAAAAGTAGGACTGTCCTTTCATGAAAGTCCCATAACTTATTTTTTATAAGCCCACAAAGCACAGCAAGAAAAAAAAAATAAGTCTGAAGTGTAATTCTCAAATACCCTCAGCAAATATTGGACTTAAGTGTATCAGCTAGGTCATGGACTCTAGTCCCCCACAATTGTGAGCACCCATGGAGTAGACAATTAGACTAAAATGATCTGCAAGAAGATCTTTTTAGCTGTCCAGACCATAAAATGTCATCCAGTCTCCTCCTGACAGCAGAAGAGATTGCAGACATGACCAGTTTCCTAGCTCTCTGTAATTATATGAAAAATTATTTCCCTAAATGTATTTTGAGGAACTAGACACAACTTGCACTACAAAGGATTCTTTAAAAACTTCATCTGTTCATATGATTGTCACTGATTGTCACGTTGTTCCTGTCAATAGGACCCAAATGTGAAAACCACTGAGGTAGGGGAAAAAAGATTTTTGCCATTGAATGAAGCCTGTTAAAAAATTCCCTCCATTTACTGATAGTGTTGAGTATGGTATCTCTGAAAATACCTCGAAGTACATTATAGTACTTATTTATCCTGTACGTACAGTATCGTTAGCACTTCTCTTCTTCCTGTTGTCTTTTTTGGAATAGCCATTGACTTTGCACTCATAACATGCTTCAGGGGACAAAGCATTCTCTTCATCAGCATCTCCATCCAGTGGCAGGTACTGGCCTTTGTTAAATCCCATCCCTGAGACACAGTGGCTGTTGAATAAAAACATCTGCTTTAGTTAATGTTTCATGAACTGTCCTGTTAAATGGAAAGTGAGTGTATATAATCTGTACCACAGTGTCTTTTCCCCTTCCTTTCCCTTCCCTCATCAGGAAGTCTGCACTAATTTTCTTCACACTCGTGTGGCATACTGAATGAAATACAACTGTTGGCTGAAGCCTGTGGGCTTTTCTAATTTCATTTACAAGTTTTACAAAGAAACCAAACAAAACCAGCCTTCCCTGAACTTTGGAACTGAAGAATTTAGCCATTGTCATGTAACAGAACAATGTTAATTTGTGTTTAATGTTCTGGGTTGATCAGTGTGGCTTAAAACTCTTAATTATCTCTGTGTAGATGGTACCTATCCTTATGCAGTAACAGTCCTCATTGAGCAGGTTTGTGAAGGAGTTCTTGGGCTGATACTGGGAGAGAAAGCAGAACTAATTGTTTAATGTTGCTTATATACTAGATTTAAAATAAGTGTCACACTGCATGCATAGACATATCCTTCTTGCTAGCTTATGGCTATTGTGTGCAAAGGTAGTAGAAAGGATGACTTAGTATCCTGTCCTTCATTTGCACCTCTGCTCTCCAGTCTGACTAGGGTCCAGCCTTTTTATAGCCTTCTGAATGTGTCTTTGACGAATGACTGTATGCAGATACTCACCCTTGTCCAACTCTGTAGTAGCCAGGTGGACAGCCACAAAGATAACCACCTTCAGTGTTGGAACAACCATAATTGCAGGGGTTCTTGGTAGAAGAACACTCATTCACATCATGGCATGCACTGGAGAATTGGTCATAAGAAAATCCAGATGGGCAGGCACACTTATAACTTCCAAGTGTGTTGTAGCAAGAAGCAGAGCCACACGCATTAGGATTGGAGCACTCATTTTCATCTAGTAAGCAAACAAAAGTATATTGCTATCTTCTAATCTGACAGACATCAGGCAAGCATGATGTAGCTAACAAATGAGAACATCTGCAAGTCGTAGGGCTCTGCTACTTCGTTGACCTCACTACCCCATAGAGAATTGGTCTCTGAAGAAAAAGTGCATTGGAAAATGTCCCAAACACATATAGCTGGGCTGTAAAGGTATTTTAGGATACTGCTAATTTTATATTGACTCAATGCTCCCCCTTCCTTCAAGGTATGTCTCCTGTTTTGCTTAGAGGTCCTTGTTCCCCTAGCAGGGTACACTCCTACCATATAAATCCACAGAGGAGAAATGAGCTGGAACTCCAGTCATACTCCAACCATGACAGTGTTCCTGTGCACCTAGTGATGAAGTGAAGTTAGCACATACTTGTAGTGGAAACCTATAGGCTCTGTGAGGGGAAAAAGAAAAGAAAGTATTGTCTTCACATTGTGGGTGTTGAATTAAGATACAGAAAAGATGACTTCTCCAGTCAATGTGACTGATTCAGTTCTGGACTATATTGTGAAAAATGAGTGAGAAAAGTAGCTTGTTGTATGGAAGATTGTGTTTTGATAGTTGGCATGTGTTGCTTATTTTATTTATCTTACCAAGGTACTGTTGCCCTGTATGTGTTTTCCTCTCCAATACCATTAGCGTGTACTTTACCATTCTTGCCTGCAGTTACTAGGAGACACATTCATTTGAAGACTATCTTTAATATTCAGAGACTGTAGCTCTGAATTGGAATTTTGTGGGAGTTGTTCATGGTGTGTTACTGTTACTCCCACCCCAGTCCTTTGCTTTCTTTGCTGTAGAGCATCATTAAGAAAGGAGTGATGATGGGGGTTGGGACTTCAAAAAAAACTGCCTGGTGTGCTGCTTAATGTAAAATGGGTGTAATAAACTAATTTATATGTCTAGCATCAGAACAGTAAGATCAGCCTATATGAAATGTATGGCAGTGCTCACAGCCATCCTCCAGTTATGACAGTGTTGATGAAGAACTATGAAAGCAAACTTGACAAGATAAACCTGTTATGGTGGCTATGAACAGTACAGGATGGGGTTTTTTTGGGTGTGTGTTGTTTTTTATTAAAAATAAATTCCCACATTTCATTTGGTATGGGAGTTAGCTTAGTTCATGAAATATAGATAAGAAATAATAGTTTGAATGGGGTAAGCCTACAATAAAACTGCTGAGCTGATTAATTTGTCCCTGTTCCCTGCCCAAAGAACTAATGTTGGTCTTAAGACTGTATTTCGTAAGCAGGAAACCCTTAATGGTTATGTTCATATTTTTTTCTCCCATTCATTATAGTTTCTATTCTCAAATTGCTGATGATGGTGAGTGATTCTTATTGAGGAAAGGTGGGGGTTTTTTTCTTTCTATTTCCCGCACACACATCCCCCCCAGCAGAGGTACTTACATTGATGCTTTCACAAATTCAATGAACATCTTTCTACTTTTCCAAGATGGAGATTTTTCTGAGGAGTAGGGAGTCAGAATTTAGGCCTTACTAGGAAAACTTCTTGTCACACAGGGTTTCAACAGGATAAGTATGTTTTCTTGTTACCTTATATCATTGATTTATGTTGGGAGTAATATGTGTATGGATGGAGTGGGAGAGAGGAAAAAAAGATTTGTGTCTGCATACCCTTTGTCCTAACCTTTGGCACCCTCAGCACGTTTGCTGATGACACAAAGCTGTGTGGTGTGGTTGACATGCTGGAGGGAAGGAAGGCCATCCAGAGGGACCCTGACAGGCTGGAGAGGTGGGCCGAAGCCCACCTCACGAAGTTCAACAAGGCCAAGTGCAAGGTCCTGCACCTGAGTTGGGGCAATCCCAAGCACAGATACAGGCTGAGTGATGAGTGGATAGAGAGCAGTCCTGTGGAGAAGGACTTGGGGGTGCTGGTAGATGAAAAGCTGGACATGAGTCGGCAATGTGTGCTCACAGCCCCGAAAGCCAGTTGCATCCTGGGCTGCATCAAAAGATGTGCAGCCAGCAGGTCAAGGGAGGTGATTCTGCCCCTCTGCTCCACTCTGGTGAGACTCCACCTGGAGTGCTGTGTCCAGCTCTGGTGCCCCCAACACAAGAAAGACATGGACCTGCCAGAGGACCATGAAGATGATCAGGGGCTGGAGCACCTCCCCTGTGAGGACAGGCTGAGAGAGTTGGGGTTGTTCAGCCTGCAGAACAGAAGGCTCTGGGGAGGCCTTATAGTGGCCTTCTAGTACTTAAATGGGGCCTACAGGAAATATGGGGAGGGACTCTTTACCAGTGAGTGTAGTGATAGGGTGAGGGGTAAAGATTTCAAACTGAAAGGGGGGAGATTAGACATTAGGAAGAAATTCTTCACCCTGAGGGTGGTGAGACACTGGGGCACAGGTTGCCCAGAGAGGCTGTGGCTGTTTAAATGTATTCTGTGCTGTTTGTTTCCTTACCAACACATTGATTCCACTGGTAATGCTGAATATATCCTTGTGGGCATCCGCATCTGTATCCACCTAGGATGTTTTGACAGCCATGCTGGCACCTATGGTTTCCATCACATTCATCCACATCTTTGCAATTAGGAGAGAAGTAGAAGATGAATGATTACACAATTATATACATTGCCAAATATGTTACTGACTTTGATCATAATAATTGAAACACCAGTATTTATGGCAGAGGAATACTGCTGTAAGATAGAAGCACCATTCAGGTTGGTCTTTTGGAAAGCCTGAAAGTCAATTAATGTAATGTTCTTTCTATCTATCAATAATACAATTGGAGGTTTTGAGCCTTTACACTACTCAGATGTGGAGAAGAAACACTACAGTTATCTCAGTTTTCAAACCAACTATGTAGGACTAAGCTTTCAGCTTCCTGGAACATATTGAAGTGTTCGAATACATACCAAATTTAGATGGAAGTGCTTACCTTTACAATTAATAAAAAGCCATCTAAAAATCTCTGAGATATGTAAATAAAGGACAAAGCCACAAAGAAAAAAAAAAAAGTAAAAATTCAGTCATCTGAAATAGTGCTTGCTATAAGAAATAAGTGGATTGTAAGCAGCTTAATGTGTCAGATACAGTGTGCTGTTCTGATAGAAAATAAAAAATCATGCATGATATCACAGGTTCTAAGTTGCACTCTAGTTGTCCACGGTTTGAAACAAATTTAATGAAACTATGATGTCCCAAAGCCTGAGGTCCGGAAAACCATCGTGCCAGGAACTGAAAGCTGTCATTTAGCATTTAGAGCAGTTCCGATGTGCTAGTTGTGTATGTAACTTGTGAATGCTTTGATATGTATAATTAAGTGTTGTGTTTCGTACGTGCTGGGTAAAGTATGCAATAAGGATGTATCTACTTTATGAGAACAAAGTAATCTGACAGAAGATACTGCTTTCTAAAACTTCTGGCTGTGTATATTCTGCACTGTTACTATAGAAATGAGCTCTAAAAGTCTATTCCTGTTTTAAATGCTGTATCAAGGTAGCTGATATTTTGAGATATCATAAGTTTGTGCAGGTATACCTCTGCATTTCTGATTCTCAGCAGTCACATGGCCTAGTACTGCCTTTTAATTTCTTCTTTGCTCAATATCTGAGGCCCACTGAAGAGTCTGGAGCTCTCAAAGTACAGATTTCCTGACTGGGGGTCCCTTTTGGGCTGAAGGGGAGAGATGTAGCAACAATATAATCTGTATTTTAACTGTAGTGAATTACCCTTCTGAATGTGTATCTCTATGGTAGAAGACTCAAAGTAAGGAATTTAGAATCTTATCTTAGATACCCTCAGGTGGATAACTGCAACTAGCTGAAACAAAAATTGTAGACAGATTCTGTTTTGACTGTATGAAAATGAAAAAGAAGAAACAACTAGACTTTTAGATGCTTAAACCTGTGTGAAGTTGAAATGGCAGCATGGAAACAATTGTTCAAGAGTTCAGCTAAAAAGTGACATTTTATGCTAATTGTTGTAAAAATTACTCAGGCAGTATGTTCTTACATACAATTATGCTTAAAATTACTCAAAACCATTCCTATTTCTTTTTGGTATGGTATTTGCTTTTACTATGGCTGGTGTTCTGCTTTATCTGTCTTTGACATCACAGGATTCACCAGACACAGACATAAAGATTCGCACCATAAAAAAAATTTGACCTTCGCTAGTTACCTTCACAGTTCAATCCAGTAGAATCCAGAGAAAATCCCCTTTGACATTCACAGGTAAAACTCCCAGGAGTGTTTTGGCAAATTCCTTTTGATCCACAAAGCGATGGCTGAGAACCACATTCATTGTTATCTTAAAAATGCAGAGGAGAGAGAAGAAGCTTGGTGTACCTTGTGGGATAATTTTAGACAGGTTCATATAACTTTTCTTAAGAGGTTGAAATCCACAGAGGTGCAACAGTTTATTTTGAAATTGTAGGTTTTCATATTTAAATGTCAGATGACCTGATGACTCATGCAAAGCTATGAGTAATTAATAAATTCGAAGTGCAAGCTGTCATTCAGTTATCAGTATGAAAGACACAGGTATGTAATTTCTGACAGTGGAAAAATGTCAGAAATTTAGCTGAACTAAAACAGTTTCAGTTGGCAAGATTCATATATATGCTTAAGATCTAAAGACATCTGTATCTATTAAAAGAGAAAATGCAGTCTGTATTTGTTTAACTACTTTTTAAATCAGATTTTAATACTTTACCCCATTGCCTCCACTTAGAATATAACAACATGTATTAAATATGTACAACTGTTCACTAACCAAGAAAACGCAAAGGGTGGATAGGCTGATTTTTCTTTAGCTATAGTTGTTGCTTTTCAAAATCTGTTTTCTGGACTACTGACATTATTGCTCTGTATTTTTTCTGTTTATACAGAGCAAAAGAAATGAATGAGAATTGAGAATGTTGTTCTTATAGAAAAACTGATGCAAGAAAGGTAATGTTTTTCTTACCAATACAAGCTGTGTGATGTTGTGTAAAACCAGGTGGACATTTGCATGTGAAGCCTCCAAGGGTGTTGACACAGAGAAACTGACAATTGTGTTGTTTGGTATGACATTCATCAAGATCTGAAAGTAAGACATGTTGTTGTCTTGAGAAAAGTCAACAATAATAGAAGTACATTTAGTCTAACTTGATAAAAATATCATACTTCAAAACTACTTCCTTTTATGTCAAGGTGCAACAAAATTAAAAGTTACTGTGTATAACTTTATTTACCTTTACATGTCTTTCCATCTTCCTGAAGGATGTAGCCCCGAGGACATGAGCACTGATAGCTCCCTTCTGAGTTCTTGCAGATAAAATTGCATGGTTTAGGAGACTGAGAGCACTCATCAAGATCTAAAGAGAGAAAATGTTAAGTATCTGTTGTACTGATTTCTTTGTCTGCCTTTGAGGGGTGTTTTCTAAACTGCACTATATTTAAGAGAAAAATGTTTGTAGAAAAACCCCCCACTTTACATTTGTTCAGAGTTCTCATTTCTTTCTCTATGGATGTGTTGCTGTGGAGTTTCTATGCAATTGCCACTACAGTGACAAACTGTTTTGAAAGAGTAATATACTAGAGTGACAGTGGCATTAGTATTTCCATCTAAGGACTAAGTATTTACTTTTGGGCATACTATCATACATTTGTGTTAACTAACAGAAAAGTGGGAAAATGTAGACCATGAAGTAATGAGCTGGTTTGTCAGTCAAAATGGTTATACAGCTGAAACGTATTTCAGTGAACATTCTACTGCAGGAATATTGCCAGTAAAGCTTGTTTCTCAATTTCTGCAAATGAAATACAGAAATAGACGTGCATATTAGGAAAAGAAAGATAGAAAAGAGATAAAAGAGATAAAGAGAAAAAAACTGCTTTGATACAGAGGTTTACAGAGGTTGATACATCATTATGTACCAAATAAAAAATCAGCTGATTATTAAGATGCTGAATCTTACCAATACAAGATGTGCCGCTTATGTCAGTGGTATAGCCAACTTTGCAAAAGCATCGGAAGGAGCCCATAGTGTTAATACACTGTCCATTTCTACATAAGTTTGGCATGACCTTACATTCATCAATATCTGTATAGAAAATATTAAATATGTCATCTTTCAGTTTCAAATTTGACTTTTTTCTTCTCTTCCATTTTTCAGAGTTGTTCATCATCATGCTTCTGATAGGAATTTTACCCTTTCTTTCTCTTTAAAAATGGATCTGAATTCAAAGTCAAATATTCTTCAAACTTTCATTACTGTTTTTTGGATCAAAACCTTCCTAATTTATTGGATACTCAGATGCCAGTTTTGCTAATGCAAAATACAAAACCCAAAGAAGTGAATTTTCTAACAACCAGTTACATGATGTCAAAAAGTTTTCAGCACAATTTAAAAATGTACATTAGCTTCTGCTTCTTGTGTGGAAATAGCAACTGCAAAGCATTCAGTGAGACTGTTGTTGCTGCCTTTGCCATGTATGCAGCTGATCAGCTTACAAAAGCTTTTTTTTTTTCGACCGCAACCCTGAAAACTCTGCACAGCTGTGAGTATTCTGGTTGCAACTAGTGTTTAAAGGTGTTTCTAATTTCTGGTCTCTCAGCAGCATTTGAAAAATCAAACTCTGTTGTTTCGCAGGAAATTCTTCGAAGGAACTTCAAAGAGAATTCTGCGTTTTCTCAAATATGTGAGCATATTCTTTTCCCCTTTTCTGCCTCTTTTCATCTCTGCAAATACCTCTTCCATCTGTAGTGTAGCCTGGTCCATGTGGACAGAGTTTCTTATACTGGGTGGTTCCAGGAAGTGGACAGAGCTCACACTGGTTACCCCAGCCCCGGCCTCCATCACAGCAGCACTCAGATTTAGTGACAAGATTCCGGCTGCTTGAAGCCATCTGACACATTGTCTGTAAAACTTCAGCAAAGCAAAACCCTTGGCGATTATCTGTAAGGAAGAAGTAGGGAGATCAAGAGTAGAAGATAAACATCTGATCCATTAGTCATCTGATGTATTATTCTGGCTCTCTGTCAACACATGTAAGCACTAGAAGATTATTAGCCACCAGCCTGTGAAGTCTATTTTGACTTAGCCTTTCAGATTTGTTGTGTCTTCTGATAATCTGCTGCCATTCCAAGTGTAGTCCAGACATCACTGAAGTTCAGTACCTGCATGAGCTGGATAAAAGTTTTACTTCCAGGAAAGTTGTGCCCTGGGGCATATCTGGTGAGCTTGCTTGATAGTAAAAGAGGCTGTGGGTTCCACTTAATCTGCCTATGTCTGACTTGCATTTGAATGATTTACTTGGAGTGGGGTTAGAAGGTTGTTTTATTTGTTTGTTTTACTTGCCAAAATAGCATGTCTGATCACCCATAATTATTGTGATGTGGTTTAAATGACAAAATCTTTAGCACTTAAGTGTCCATACAATACAGTACTTTTTCAGTGGCACTCCTAGTTTTTGTTGGGTGGGAAAAAAAATAAAAATTATATGGCCTTACTGTTGATCTGTCCCTTTCTAAATCTACTTTCCTTAATTTTTAAACCTTTTGGTTAATATCTGTCAGATGAAAGAGGAGCAAAACTTCAGCTCCTATGAGTTTCCTTCAAACTAATGGAAACTAAATATTGCAGAGATGCTATCTTCTAAATAGGCTGTGTCACTTTTTTTACTTGTTCATTAAAATGCAGACATTGTCAACTGTGGTCTGAAAGATGCTTATATTTTTAAATGAAAGCTTTCATTTTTTTTTCTTAAAGCTACAGTTAAAATCCTTCAGAGCCCACAGAATGTGTATATCAAGACGCGGCTGACTTTCTCTTAGAAGTATAAAGAGTAGAATCTGTACATTTCTTACATGAATCAGGTAATATGCGAACTTCGGTTATAGGCAAAACTTACTTTGGGTGCCCGGTAACTAAACTGCTTACATCAAATAAAGCTGTCCTCACTGAAAGTGTCAGTTGTGTGAGACAGCATGTTTGCTATAGTAATCTGCAAGACTCAGCAGATTTCTGTTCTCCTAGACAGGTATATTGTGCAGGTCTTTATGCACATTATGACTTGAAGAACATGTAATGCTTTGTCCCCAGTTTGAGATGCGGAATAAAATTTTAATGTGAACAGAGTATAAAGGTTTGCACAATATATTTAAAATAATATAATCTAAGACTTAATATTTGACTTTAATTCTGAAGAAAGTACTTTTCTTCTGCCAGTCTCATTTTTTATTGTAATTTCTGGCCCAGGAAACCCTAAAGGAAAAGCAGTAATGAGCATACTAAGCCAAAGCATAGTTTTCAGAAAATAATAAGAAAATCATATATTAAATATAAGAAAGCAATAATAACTTCCAATCACAGTATTTCATTTGCATTAATGATTGGCTGGGGTTAACAGACTGTAGCATCCTCTTTCCATCTGGTCTTAATCCTTAGGAAATACCCTGCACTTCCAATGCTATTGCTTTGTTGTGAAGTCAGCATATTACTGATGACAATTTACAGAGGGGCTGGTTTCATAAGATTATATACAAGTATTTTTGATGCAGGAATACTAATAAATACTCATACAGTTTCACTATTATAAAACACTTTGAAGTATCTACACTTGAACACTGATCATGAAAAAGTAAGTTTTTGCAGGTTTGATTTCTGAAACGGGAACAATCAATTTTATAGTGTAAATGACAAGTCTGAACATATTGAAAAGGAAATAGAGGCTGATGAGTATAAAACCCTTCATCATCATTTAATGTGCAGGCCTGCCTCAATTTTTTTTAAAGTATCTTGCAATTTTTTGGTGAAATCCTAACATTTTGTATTCATAATCACTGTCTGAATTAAAGGTACAGAAAACTGAGATGCCTAGTTACAGTATTGTGGTGCTTAAGATCACGTTCTGAATATGCAAACACTTGCTTTTGCTCTGCAACCTGGTTTTTGATCTAAGGTAACTAAATTCTGCTTCTTCTTTAAAAATACTTGTATTTTGTCTGGATAGTGTTACTCAGCACCATATTTATGTCCTTTGGAATTTAGACACTTCTGTGTGAGGCCTCTGATTGCTGGACTAAGCTGACATTCTCAAGATGCTCCACATGCCTATCATTATTAATTAATAAGGATCAATATTTCATTTCTGTAGATATGAGAGCTGTTAGGTACTCACAAGCCTAATTTACACTCTGCATCCTTTATACTTTAATGTAAAATGTAATGTATATGAAAGAGACATTTACCGAGACACTCAATGCCTGATGGACTTGATAGGAATCCTTCATTACATTCACATCGGTAGCTCCCAATAATGTTCATACAACGACCATTTTCACAGATACCTGGCTTGGTGCGGCATTCATTTTCATCTTTGCAAAAATGTAATAAAAAAAAACCACCAAAAAACTGTTACAAGGAAATCTATCAGACTCATAGAATGCTTTAATTATTCTGTGTAATATTTGCAAAATATTTGCAAAAAGTGGAAAATCAACAACCAATTAAGCCTGGAAAGGATCTTCCTAGTAACACTATCCTATTCCATTCTTTATGTACTACATCCTAGGCCAAAAGCTTTAATCCTTGTATGTTCTTTGCCACTTATAACAAAAAGCAGGAAACACTTGCAGCAGAACAAGTTCTAGTCATAACTTTTACCTGGCAAGTAACATTCAAATAAAATTGGAATACATGCATGATCTGAGTAACAAAATTTCACTTTGTAATCATGAAGAATCTCTGAATACATTTGACCTCTTCTGCAGTCAGTCACATTTCAGTCCACACATCATTTCCCTGAAACAGTTAACAATCTTAGTGTCTTTTCTTGCACAACTAATGGTACAGGTACTGTAAGCAATTACACACCTTCACAGAGTTAAAATAAAACCTCAGGTGATTTAAAGGCAGCATTACATGGCAAAAAAAAAGTAAAAAAAAACTTATTAATACAGATTTATTTCCCCTTAAAAGAATCATAAAGATCTATAAAAGAGAGTAGTCATTCTCTTGCTGAAGGAACACTTTTAATATACTCTTATTTAAAGCATTCACTGAGATGGATGTTTAATTTTCCTTTTTTTTTCCTCTAAGCCAATGACAGCCTCAGCTACTTCTGTCAAAGAACTTTGGAATGGTCTTTTTTTTTTAATGTACCAGAAGAAAGCAAAATTTGCCAAAATTCTGCCTCACCTAATTGAGAAAATGATGGAGGAAAGCTGTTTGTTTACTTACAAGACAAAGTATTATTTTGAACTATGGCAGTTTCCACATCTTTTGCTCTTCATGGCTTTTAGATGTTGTTTTAGAATCTTACAGTTTTAATTCTTTAAGGAACTACCACATTATTTATAAACAGTACTAATGCTAAAGGAAATAAAACTTTTTATTTATAATAATTTTGCTTCCTGCTCATCAAATGGGGTCTCTTTCGTTTGGCAACTTATATTTTTAAATCTAACAACTGTCTGAAAAACTTTCTGACTTTGTTCTACAACAAAAGGAACAAACCCAGAGTTTTTATTCTGAAATACTTATTAGTCATTTAGAACTACTTTCAGATATGGCAGCACACCTTGAAACTAAAAAGGAAGTTTAAGAGGTTGGGCATCACTAGCTATCTTTTAAGTGTCCTTTATGAACTGCTGTTTTCTAGTTTACTATGTACATATACAGAGGATTTGTCATGTGTTTGGTTGTTTGTATTTCAGTAGATGTCATCTTCTCTTTCGAAGCTTTACCTGTGCAGCCCTCTCCATCAGGTCTCCGGGTCATTCCAGGAGGACAAATGCACATAAAAGTACCAATCAAATTTTTGCACGTCATGCCTCTCGATTTGCAGTCATGGAGACCTTCAGCACACTCGTCTAGATCTGGAAAAAAATAAAAAAAAGTATTTTCTGTTTGAGCTTCCTTCCAGTAGCTTCAGTTACTGAAGACAATTAGAACTTTCTCAAGCAAAAGCATATACAGACTTCCCTAACTAATAAGCACTGAAGAAAAATCTGAGAGCTATGCTTAATTGCAATTGTCTTAGTCTTTGTGAGCTGTATTGCCTTGCCATGTTAAATATGAACTTCACCATTGTGACCTTCTCAGCTTTACAATCCCCACCAAGGGGTACACGCGATAGTAAAAACACTACATACTGGTTCTTACATGAGTTCTGAGAGAGTAAATCACCACCTGCTGGGCTATTTGCTACATTCCACTGAGAATGAATGCAAGACACACAGAAATATTTGGATTATGCTTTCGCCAGCACAGGGTGATGGAAGTTGGGGAAAAGTTTATATGTCAGTCATTACCTTTGCACATCTTTTGGTCTTCTCTTAGTTCATAGCCGACTGGACATGTGCATTCATAGAAACCGTAAGTGTTGATACAACGAAAAGCACACAGCAAGGGATTCTGAGCACACTCATTTATATCTGAACAGAAAGGAACAAAAATAATCATTCTCCACTAAGTTTTAAAACAATCACCAAGAAGGTTTTCTTATACCTGTGCTTCTCTTGTCATCTAAAAAGTACCAGAAATGTTGTAATTCAAATCAGAAACTTGTGGATGTTTGGTTTTGAGTAGCCAGAGAAAACTGATCAAGGCTCTGCTTAAAAATAATGGCACAATAAATATGGAACTACTTGAGCTTAGAATAACAAGCTGGGACAGGCCTATTTAAAATTTTTATTATATTATTTTTTTTTAATGTATTTTTTGTGTGATGTCAGCTTTTTTCCCAACTCTGAAAAAAATGAACTCTTGCTTCAGAACGCAAACTAATGATTCATAAAATACAAAATCTGTAAGAAGCATCCTGATCAGCATCTGATGATAGCAGAATGGTTGTACACAATTCTCACACCTTGAAAAATAAGACGTACTTAACAAAACCAATAGAAGATCACAGTTACTACCACCCCCCA